AAGGGCCCCCGGGAAGGCGGCGTCGCCAAGGGCCAAGAGCCTCCACTTCGGCTTCGGGCGCGCGGCGGACGGCGCCGAACCGGCCGCGCGTCGGGGCGCCCAGGTGACGGGCGAGGGCGCGCGCCGCGACCCACCCGCCGAGGGCGAGGGACTCCCGGATGGAGCCCCGCCGCGGGCCCTGGCGCGCGGCCTCGGCCGACGGCGCCACGCCAACTTCGCCCTCGCCAGCTGCGCGGGCGCCCGCCAAGGAGTCGGCGCTGCAGGCCGCCCCCAACTCGGGGGCGCTCGCACCTGGCGCCCGCGCTGCGCATCCACCCTTTCCCGCGCTGCCTCCGCCAGGCCAGCGCCCGTCGCGCCTGGCGCGTCGGCGCGGGTCGCCCCGCCGGGGGCGCACGCCGCGGCCCCGGCGTCGCGGGCCGCCCCGCGCGGGGCGCTCGCCGCCCGCGGGCGCCCGGCTCTGCGGGCCGCGCCCTCGCATGCGCGCGCCGCGCGGGGGCGCTCGGTGTCGCGGGGCGTTCGCCGCGCAGGCGCGCACCTCGAGTCTGCCCCTCAGCTGCGGCCGAGCATGACGCGCCAGGGCAATCACCACGCCCGGCCATCCGCATCTTAGTTTGCAAAACCCACGCAGCAGCGAATGCGATGAGTGCATGGTTCTGGCTGGCGCATCTCTGCGGCCGCCCTGGCCCGCGCACGCTTGCTCGCGAAACGTCCAGCTATTTTGGCCCGACCGCCGCGGCCGCGGTGACGCTGGTCGCTGGGCACTTCCCAACGCGTCTCGCAGGCCGCGCTGACGCGAGGGCACTCCAGTGCGAGTCGGTGGCTGTGGCGGGCATGGTATCATGGCGACGCCGGCAACGGCAGACGCGATGGTGCGACGGCGATGCGCATGACGGCGCCGATGAGGACCACGTCAATGACGAAGGATGATGGCGCCCTCGCGTCGGCAAAAAGGTTTTGGAAAAAACTTGGCATGCGCGCGAGGCAGGCGCGCGCGAGTGACCCGCTCGGAATTCTTCGACAAGGACCGTGCCCTCCAGCACTCGCGCAAGTGCGTTCGAATGATTTCGACATGCGCGCGCGAAGGCCCCATGATGGTCGCATCCGATGAGTATGTTGGAGCGCCGACGACTTTCCAAGAAATCGCCGCTGCGAGCGCTGACCTTTCCTCTTGGTCGCAAGACTATGTGTTTTGGTGCGTGTTCAAGACACTCGGCTCTAAAATCCGTACGACGCCTGAGGTTTCTGTTGACACATTTCGGCATGCGCGTGCAACCACGCAAGCGTGCGCCTTTCGTCCGCGTTTTGTTGCAAGGGGTCTCGGCACGACAGATCTATCACGCTTGATATACGAGTGTGCGCGCATAGTGCTTTTTGTAAAGGGTGGTGGGGGCGGGTCGATAACGGCCTGGCTGGGATGGGAGTACGAAACTAGCACGGCCGACGGGGCATAATCATAAATACATTGCAGATCCCCAATGGAGCGGTAATCCCTGGCTCGAAAAGCGTAGATCCCAACTTGTTTGGGCAATTCAGACCTCACCCTGCCGAACTTGAAATTGACAACGCCGCTCCTCCCGTAATCATCCCACCCACCCACCTGCAAGCTGGTTTGGGAAACCAGTGCGGCTGCGATTGCGCTCACTGCTTGGCACTGGCTGGCGAATCGCCGCGACCGCGCTAGCGCGCGCAGGCTCCCGCGCAGGGCGGACAACTAGTCTGGCGCGACCGGCGCGGCCGCGGTAGCGCTGTGGGGCATATCCCAGCGCGTCTCTCGGTGACTCGGGCGGACGCGATATCACGGCGACGTCGGCAACCGCAGACACTAAAAGTATTGTGGGGATGTTGGTGGCGACGATGACGATTACGATGGCGACGGCAAGGCCCATGACGGCGCCGATGCCAATGACGACGATGACGACGATGGCGCCCACGCGTCGGTGATGAAGATTGCCGGAAGGATTTCTACATGCGCGCGCGGACGACGGGCGCAAGCGGCCCTCTTGTGATTATTTGACACGTGCGCCCCCCCCAGCACGCGCGCAAGGGCACTCGAATGATTTCGACATGCGGTTTCAAGGGCCCCGCGTCGCAAGCAATGCAAGTGTTGGAACGCACGCGGCTCTCCCCCCCAAAAAAGGCAAGAGCTTGTCCTTGAAAAGTCTGGTTGCAAAATAAAACGTTGTTGCATATTGTTGGCACGCTCGACTTTGAAATCCCTGCGAGACCTAGGGTTCCGGACAGATTTGGGCATGCGCGCGCGACGACGCGCGCGTGTGCCTTTCGATGTTGCGTTTTTGCTGAAAAGGCCTATTGGAAGCTTTTTTTCGATAAACGAATTTGCGCGCAAAGTTCTTCTTCAGGAAATGGCGGCGCCAATCGATACCAGCTTGGCTGGCAGCATGGTGTGGCCTCTCATGGAAAATGAACGGGGAGGCATCACTTTATGTGAATAGCAGTATAAAAAAGCGAGAAGATAATCCAGAGGGTGTGGCACCTGTTCCTTCTGCGAAAAGAAAATGTACGTGGTGCAACCTGTGTGGTCCAATTGCCGTTGTGCAGTATATTCTGGCCGAGTGGTCTGAAATATGGTGTGCAATCACTCTGTGTCGCACAATCTACGTGGCACGATGTATTTGGTTCACCCTATGTGGTGCACCCAATGTCGTGCAATTTGTGCTGAACAACCTACGTGGTGCAATCCACGTGGTGCAATCTATTTTTCTGCGACGAGCCGGCGACAAGGCGACGACGGCGACCACGGAGCCGACAGACCAACCCCCAAACCTAGACGATTGGCGGCGACGAGGCGGCGACGGAGCGGCGACAGCGAACACGGAACCGCAAGATCAACGCACAGGCCCAATTCCTTCGAAGACAAGCAAGAGCCCCTAAGTGCAAGAACTGGTTGGGGTACAAGGCGTGCTTGAGCGTTCAGACATAGTGAGGAAGAGTTGACTGGGCTGAACGGTCTGTGTTTGTTCGTACCCAAGCCTGTAATACACGCAGGGTGAAGTGCAAAAAAAGCTAGACGTGCTAGAACATGTACACACATAGCGATGGACAAACTCAGTAAAACAACTTACCCAGGTTACGTGAGATATGCACGTAAGCAGTACCAGGCCATGGCCACATATTCGAAGTGTAGTGGGCCAGACAACATATGGATCAGGGGCTGCTGAAGTCGATGATTGGGGGAATTGATCCGATAAGAAGCAGAAGGCGTACACAAGACAGAACAGTCAGAGCGTGTGGGGGACCTGTGATTCAGAGGAATCAGAAGAGTCCGCCGCGAAGCGCTTGTCAGGGCCGCCAGAGTGTGTGGGTTGCTCAGCTGACCCATCCATCTGTCCCCCGCGCCTCCCTAGGAGTCCAGCATCCCGTTCTCTGCACTAAGGGCTTCACGACTTCTGCTGTCCCTCGACTCGCGCTGGAGCTTCCACGACTTTCCAGATGTACCTGTGCATGCCTGGATTTACATATGTGTACATTGGTGTGCGATTGTTTGCAAAGATATGCAGCGATTTACCTGGCTCGATCGCCGCAAGTTGATTGGATACGAGTTGGCAGGTCCTCGAAAATCTCCGCCCACATCCCCCACCCCAAAGTTGCAAGAGAGCCCCCGAGAGGCTTCCAGATCTATGTGCTCACTCCTAGTGGGCTCTGGAAGCACTCAACCCCCAATATTGAAATCTCTAGGGGGTGCACGATTTACTTCCGCCAGCATGCGCTAGCTTTCCGCCGCCCTTCGCCGAGGAAGAGATACCAAACCCTTCGATCCTCCAAGGCGGAGCCCTTTGATGAGCCTTCTACTTGCAGCCCCCGCGTTTCACTAGTATGTGTCCCCCCCTTCTCCCAGCGACTCGCCTAGGCAGCCTTGATAATGGGCGGATTGACCAGAGGCCAGATGAGGAGGGTTGAAAAGGAGCAGGGGGAGGGAGGCCACTTGTTTGACCCCTGGGAGGGATGGCTGCGTCACATTGATCCAATAGCAAACAGCTCGGAAGGGGGAGGGGGAGAGAGGGAGGGGACGGAGGAGGGAGGGGAACAGGAAGGGGATGAGGGGGGAGGAGGGAAGAGGAGAAGGAGGAGGAGGAGGAGGAGGGAGGCAGGGAGGGAGGGAGGGAGGAGGAGGAAGAGGAGGAGGCGGGAGGAGAAAAGGGAGAGGTGGAGGCGGTGGAGAAGGAGGAGGAGGGGAAGGGAGGGAGGAGGTGGAAGGAGGAGGGCGGAGGGAGAACGGGCAGGAGGGGGAAGGAGGAGCGGGAGGGAGGAGGGGTGAGGAAGAGGGAGGAGGGAGAAGGGAGGAGGGGGAGGGTGGAAGGGGCAGGCGGAGGCGAAACACGGCCTCCCCCGCCCGCCCGCTGCTGCTCGCGGCGCTCCGCTCGAGCACGACGCCTCGCGGACTTCGCCCGCTCGGCGCACGGCCGCCGCCTCGCGGGGCCCGCGCCAGCAGGCTGCCAGCCCTCATCATCACAGCTGTGCCTGAACGTTGCTGTTCGCTTTGCGCTCGTGTTGTTCGTCGCTCTGCTCTACCTGTTCTCCCGTACCCCCCTCCGTCAAAACGAAAACAGACCATCACCGAAGTCCAGCAACACAGCGCTTAGGTACAGCCCCATGCTGACAATCGGCAGTGGGCGGCGAGCGCCGCCGCTGTCTCGACCTGGCGCTCTTCCGACCCTCGCCCATCGCTCGGACGCGAATTCCCCGCGGATGTTCGGCCTCGTGCGCTCGCCTTTCTGCGCGAGGGGCCCAGGATGCTCCTGAGTGGTGGCTTGCCAAGAAAGCATGCTCACGCCCGAGCGGTGCCAAGGACCTGAGTCACCACCTCGGAGCTCGGAGAAGGCGGCGACGGCGACGACGAGATCCCACGACGACGTCCGAGCTGAGGACCACAGCAGCGGCGAGCCTCGACCCTGAAGGACTCGAGGTTCGGCCCGGGGGCGGCGGCAGTGGGCTGCCACGGTCCTGGAGCCTGTCGTCCACCGCCGTGATGCCGACGAACTTCATGCCCTGCGAAGGCGAAGCCACGACGGGGGCAAATTCTGGTGAGGACAACTCTCGGGCACGAACCAATGATTCATCGGAGGCGATAGATGGGGGGGGGGGGAAAGGTACCCCTTTCGGGCCAAAATGCCCCCATTGGTGGCCCGAAAGGGCTCCTTCGCTGCAGCCCTCGCTGCCCCCTCCACCCCCCGTCACTTACCGCCCCCCACCTTGACGCGCCCCCCAAACTTGAGATCTGGCGGCTCTGGAAGATATCTCCGGCGCCGCGGCCGTCTCAGAGCGTGCCCGAGCACTCCGAGAACGTTTCGGAACACTCTGGAACGGATTATCCTCGTCCCAGCCCCGTCCGACCTGCTCCATCCTCGCGGCCACCTCTGCCATGCCGGACTCCTCGGGAGGGCGGGGGACTTTGGAGGAGGGCGAGTCGGGACACCGGCCTCCCTCCCGGGTGGTGTTCGTCCTCTTCGGGCCTCCTGGGAGCTTCTCGTCGCCACGGCTGATCCACCTCGACAAACGGGCCAGGACGGATCACGGGAGGGATATGGGGCCGATTTGGAGCGGATAAGGGCTGGGCGAGAGAGCCGCCGTTGCCTCAACTGGCCCTCATCCGAAGGTTTGGCTACAAGTACCCGTCGGTCGGAAGTGGGTAGAACCATGAAGTAGGAAGGCGTTGGAAATAGATTGTGCTTCCACCCGCCCCCCGAAGAGGAGGGATGAGGGAAAACCGCTGGACTCTTGAAATTGGAAGGCGCCTAAATCAGATTAGAATCTGGGCATCTAGAATCTAGAAATAACTACGTTATACGACCGACGAGAAGAACTGTCCCTGCGCGATGGGGGCTCACGTCCAAAAACCTTGACCCTTCTGCTCCTCCTCCTCCTCCTCCTCTTCTGGACGATGACGACTGCGACGTCCGAAGGAGCCCAGGGACACACAAACAAATATACAAATCCCAGGAATTCCCAATATTTACCTTTACTTTCTTTGGGGATCGACGATCTATTGTGTCTGTGCGATTTTGTCTCTCCTGCACCTACTCTGGACGAGGACCACGGCGATGTCGTCCAGCCCCGCTCGCCTACTTCTCGGTCGCAACGCTGGCCGACGCCCAGCGCGGCCGAAGCTGCAAACTGGGCCGGGGGGTCGCGCGTGGAGCACGGAGGCTTCAGCAGCGAGGCGGGCGGCCGCGGAAGCGGGCACGGACCAGAGACGCGCGCTCAAGTCGCGTAGGCCTTCGCGGGCAGTGCGGGCGGTCCGGGTCCCCCCTCGGCTGCACGCCGTGGCGGCCCTGGGCGGGCAGTGGCCGCTGCTGCCCAGCCCGCCGACCGCTGCGTGCGATGCGATCTCTGGCGGCCTGCGCGCCCGAGGTTTGCATCCCCCCTCTTCCCCCCGTCCGCGCCCCACTCGAGGATGTGCCGGACGGGGATGGGCTCACGGGCTTGGGGATGGGGATGGGGATGGGGATGGGCACTCAGCCCCCCGTCCGCAGCCGCGCACAGGAGGTCACTCACGGGCTTGGGGATGGGGATGGAGGAGGAGGAGGAGGAGGAGGAGGAGGAGGAGGAGGAGGAGGAGGAGGAGGAAGAGGAGGAGGAGGACGAGGACGAGGAGAAGGAGGAGGAGAAGGATGAGGAGCTATGAGCACAGTGGTGCCTCAAACCAACTTCGAGAGCCCCGGCCCGAAGGAGGAAGAACTAGGGGCGCAGAGGCGCCTTAAACCGACGTCGGGAGCCCCCGCCCGAAGAGACACGTTCAAAACCAGGCCCACTAAGGGCCGGCCATAGTACTACAGTGTGTTGACAGCTCCAAGGCCCCAGTCCAGAGAAACAGGCGATCTTTAGGGTCCGTGCCCTGCCACGCAGATAACAACATCTCTGGGACGCTTGAGGGGAGGAGGGAGGATCAGACGGAGGAGGCGAGGAGGAGGAGGAGGAGGAGGATCAGGAGAAGGGGTGCGACCGTACCATGACTGTCCGTTCTTCGCCCGCCACCTCCAGCGCCACTCGCGGTGCGGACCGAGCGCCAGAAGACACGGGGGGGATAGCCGACAGCCCGCCGCGCCCGTACAACGCGAGCTGGCTAGGCCAAATCAGGCCCGCAGCCCCCGCACCGAGACGAGATAGGAGCAAGAGCAAGAGGAGATGGGGGGAGAACCAGAAGGAGGCGGCAAAGGTTTGGGGGGGGGAGGAGGAGGAGGAGGAGGAGGAGGAGGAGGAGGAGGAGGAGGAGGAGGAGGAGGAGGAGGAGGAGGAGGAAGGAGGAGGAGGAGGAGGAGGGGGAATAGGAGGAGGAATGGGAGGAGGAGGAGGAGGAGGAGGAGGAGAAGGACGAGGAGGAGGAGCACGAGCAGGAGGAGGTGGGGAGGAGGGAAATTGGAATGTGGAGGAAGATAAGGACGACGGGAGGGGAAGGAGGAGGAGGAGGAGGAGCAGGAGGAGGAGAAAGGGGATGGAAAGTGGATGGCAACAGGTAGGGGGATGACGAGGAAGAAGAGAAACAGGAGGGGGAAAGAAGAGGAGGAAGAGGGAGATGATGTGCGGGAGGAGGGCTCCTTGGTGGTATCGATAACCTCCCGGGCCGCGATGTAGTCCCTGCTCCACTCGGCAAACTCCTCCTCACTCACCTGGGGAAACAACAGATGAAGCCAAGACGATGACGAACTCGGAGCGAAGTAGCTCGGAAACCTTTGACCACTGGTGGACTTGGAAGACCTTATCTGGCGCCACGGCCATTCTCCAGAACGCTAAGAGAGTGTTTCTGGGACGCGGCAGCGCGATTTACCGTTGTCCAAAGCATGCCCTGCCTACAGTAGGAGCTCGACCACAGGATACCGTCCACAAGAAACCCAACCCCGGGACCCTAGGGCGTCTACTGATTTTTGGCGTGGGACCGTCACGCTTTCCATAGTAAAGAAAAGAACCACAAGATGCTCGGGGGACCTAGTCTGTCCCGTCGCGGTCCTATCCGCGCCGAGTCCATGCCGAATCCATGTCTGACTCGTCGGATCCGTGTCGAATCCTTGTCGAATCGGTGTCGAATCCGCGTCGGATCCACGCCAAGTCCGCGTCGAGTCCGCATCAGGCCCGCGTCGGGCACAAGAAAAGACACCAAATTTGGGGGACAGGTGAGGTCCCCCGAAGATGCAACGTAAGCTCGCACGGGACGCGTCCTGACCAGGATTCCAAGGCGAATCCCGCGGGGGCGACGACCCCCCCCGACATTCAGGGACGCACGGGCCCCGAGTCAATGCGAGCCCCAGCCGGTCGGGCTTTGGGAGGTCCTTCGACGACGCCAGGACGAAGGCAACATCGGGTGAGAAAGAATCGAGAATTTGAGATTCCGCGACTCTGGAAGATGTCTCGAGCGCCGCGGCCTTCTCAGAGCGTTTCGGAAAACTCTGAGAGCGTTCCCGAACGCCCTGAAACGGATTTATCCTCGACCTAGCCCCATGCGAGATCCGGCCAAATCCTGCAGGATCTTGCAGGATCCTGCGAGCTGACCCCTGTCACTGCAGCCCTGGCTCTTCAAGATTCTGCACGATGCGGGGCTCTGGCTGACCAACGTGTGCATTGACCCCTGTCCCAAGGCTCCCGGAAGGAGGGAAGCGCATCGGTATCGGGAAGCTTTTGGTCCCCCCCCTGGGCCTTTTTCATCGCGACGATGAGCGTGCGGAGGCCCTTCGAGGCGTAGGCGGTCAGGTTCCTCTGGCTGCCGGCGGAGAGCGGATCCCGCAACAGCGGCTCCATGACCGTGTCCGCCCCTTTCGTGATGCACCAGATGTCGCTCCTGTGCCTTCTCGGCTAAACGTACCCATCGGTCGGGAAAAAAGCAGGTAGAACCATGAAGTAGAAAGGCTTTGAACATATATTGGGTGTACGCCCGCCCCCTTTGCGAGGAGGGAAGAGGTGAAGCCACTCGATCCTTGAAGTAGGACGGCGCTGAAAAAAGACTGGGCTCTGGGAGTCCACAATTACTCCGACGGAACAACCCCACATGAAAATCCTTTCGGCTAATCTGGAAATAACCTTCACTGCCGTGGGGGGCCCATAGGGAGAGGGCTCTTGCCTGAGACTTTCTCGCCATTCACTCACAGACGAACCTCCCGCCTGGCACTTCCCCCAAATTTAAGCCTCCAGAGCCCAAGAGTGACGACAGTTACAAGTTCGAGGATGACCCGCTCGGAATAAAACCATGAAGTGCGGGCCCCATAGGGAGAGGGCTCCCGCCTGAGACTTCCAAGCAATTCACTCACAGACTAGCCTCCGCCTGATACTTCCCCCGTATTCACGCCTCCGGAGCCCAAAAGTGACGACAGTTACAGGTTCGAAGGTAAACCGCTCGGATGAAAAATATGAAGTGCGGGCCCCACAGGGAAAGGGCTCCCGCCTGTAACTTCCTTCCAATTCACTCACAGACGATCCTCCCGCCGGATACTTCCCCCATACTCAGACCTCCAGAGCCCAAAAATCACGACAGTTACAGGTTCGAGAATGAATCGCTTAGATTCAAAACATGAAATGCAACCCCATAGGGAGATGGCTCCCGCCTGTGACTTCCTCGCAATTCACTCACAAATGATCCTCCCGCCTGATACTTCCCCCATATTCAAGCCTCCGGAGCCCAAAAGTGACGGCAATTACAGGTTCGAGGATGACCCGCTCGGGCTATAAAAAATGAAATGCGGGCCTCATAGGGAGAGGGCTCCCGCCTGAGAATTCCTTGAAATTCACTCACAGACGAGCCTCCCGCCTGATACTTTCCCCTTATTCATGCCTCAGGGGCATAAAAGAGACGACAGTTATAGGTTCGAGGATGGCTCGATCGGATAAAAAACATGAAGTGCGGGCCCCATAAGGAGAGGGCGCCCGCATGAGACTTCCTCGCAACTCACTGACAAACAAGCCTCTCACATGATACTTCCCCCATATTCAGGCCTCCGGAGCCCAAAAGTTGCAACATTTACAGGTTCGAGGATGGCCCGCTCGGATTAAAAACATGAAGTGTGGGCCCTACAGGGAGAGGGTTCTCGCCTGAGGCTTCCTTGCAATTCACTCACATACGATCTTCCCGCCTGCTACTTTCTCCAAAATTCAGGCCTCGGAGCCCAAACGTGACGACAGTTATAGGTTCGAGGATGACCCGTTCGGATTAAGAACATGAAGTGCGGGCCCCACATGGAGAGGGTTCCCGCCGCAGACTTCCTCCGATTCACTCACAAACGATCCTGCCGCCTGATACTTCCCCCCATACTCAGGCCTCCGGAGCCCAAAAGTGACGACATTTACAAGTTCAAGGATGGCCCGATCGGATTAAAACCATAACATGCGGAACTTATAAGAAGAGGGCTCCCGCCTGAGACTTCCCGCCTGAGTCCAAGCAATCCATTCACAGACGAGGCCGCCGCCTGATACTTCCCCCCTATTCAAGCCTCAGGAGCCCAAACATGACGATAGTTACAGGTTCGAGGATGACTCGCTTAGATCCGAAACGTAAAGTTCGGGCCCCATAGGGAGATGGCTCCCGCTTGTGACTTCCTCGCAATTCACTCACAGACGATCCTCCCACCTGATACTTCCCCCATATTCAAGCCTCAGGAGCCCAAAAGTGACGGCAATTACACGTTCGAGGATGACTCGCTTAGATCCGAAACGTAAAATGCGGGCCCCATAGGGAGATGCCTCCCGCCTGAGAATTCCTCGCAATTCACTCACAGACGATCCTCCCGCCTGATACTTCCCCCATATTCAAGCCTCAGGGGCCTAAAAGTGACGACAGTTGCAGGTTCGAGGATGGCCCGATCGGATACAAAACATGAAGTGCGGGCCCCATAAGGAGAGGGTTCCCGCATGAGACTTCCTCGCAACTCACTGACAAACAAGCCTCTCACTTGATACTTCCCCCATATTCAAGCCTCCGGAGACCAAAGGTTGCATCATTTACAGGTTCGAAGATGGCCCGCTCGGATTAAAAACATGAAGTGTGGGCCCTACAGGGAGAGGGTTCTCACCTGAGGCTTCCTTGCGGTTCACTCACATACGATCCTCCCGTCTGCTACTTTTTCCATGCTCAGGCCTCGGAACCCAAATGTGACGACAATTACAAGTTCGAGGATGACCCCCCGTTCGGATTAAGAACATGAAGTGCGGGCCCCACATGGAGAGGGCTCCCGCCGCAGACTTCCTCCGATTCACTCAAAGACGATCCTCCCGCCTGATAGTGCCCCCCATACTCAAGCCTCCGGAGCCCAAAAGTGACGACATTTACAAGTTCACGGATGGCCCAATCGGATTAAAAAACATAAAATGAGGGCCTTATAAGAAATGGTTCCCGCCTAAGACTTCCCGCCTGCAACTTCCAAGCAATTCATTCACAGACAAGCCTCCTGTCTGATACTTCCCCCCTATACGAGCCTCAGGAGCCCAAAAATGACGACAGTTACAGGTTCGAGGATGACTCGCTTAGATCCGAAACGTAAACTGCGGGCCCCATAGGGAGATGGCTCCCGCATGTGACGTCCTCGCAATTCACTCACAGACGATCCTCCCACCTGATACTTCCCCCACATTCAAGCCTCCGGAGCCAAAAAGTGACGACATTTACAGGTTCGAGGATGACGCGCTCGGGCTATAAAAAATAAAAAGCGGGCCTCGTAGGGAGAGGGCTCCCGCCTGAGAGTTCCTTGAAATTCACTCACAGACGCGCCTCATACTTTCCCCTTATTCAAGTCTCAGGGGCATAAAGGTGACGACAGGTACAGGTTCGAGGATGGCTCGTTTTTGTTATATATTTTTACATTTTTTCTTTATAAAAAAGGTGTTCGGGCCCCATCGGGAGAGGGCTCCCGCCTGAGACCCCCCCCATGTCCAGGCCGCGGGAAAATGTTCTGAGTGATGAACGAGAGTGTGTGTGTGTGTGTGTGATGTGCGACTGGGTATGATGATGATGGCGGCGAAGATGATGATGATGATGATGATGATGATGATGAGGAGGAGGAGGATTTTTTACCCGGCATCAGGACCAAACGAGCCTGCACGGCTTAAACAAAAATGATGGTCCGCCGCAGAGAGCCGAATCTCTCGTTATTCCCCGTTCTTGGGACCGCGTCTCGCGGGCGCTGACACAGAGGGGCTGCGTCGCGCTGCCACGAGACGCTTCGAGGAGGCGTTTATTAGTCAAGCAACAAGCTGTGGCCTCGTCTTCTGCTACTGTACCGTACCGAGCTGATCGCGTCGGCCTTCGGGCCCTTCGACATGGGGTGACCCCGAGTCGGCAGAGTCTGGCTGTGCCAGCCCTGCCGACCCCGAGTTTGCTGGCCCAGACAAAAAGACAAACAACAACTGAGACTGGCGGGGCACGCCCTGCGGCATGCTCCAGCTCTGAATATTCCAGGACTGGCGGCGCGCGCCCTGCGGCATGCTCCTGCTCTGAGACTGCTGAAACTGGCAACGCACGCCCTGCCACCCTCGAGTCGGCTAGCCCAGAAAAGAAGACAGATGCTGCTGAGACTGGCGGCGCACGCCCGGTGGCATGCTCCAGCTCTGAGTCTTCCAGGACTGGCGGCGCGCGACCTGCGGCATGCTCCAGCCCTGAGTCTTCTGAGACTGGCTGCGCACGTCTTGCCGACCGAGTCGGCAGCTGCTGGGGGGTCCGGCTAAGAAGCGAAAACAGAAGCTGCTGAAACTGGCGGCGCGCGCCCGTCGGCACGCTCCTGCCCTGAGTCTTCTGAGACTGGCGGTGCGCGCCCTGTGGCGTGCCCCCGCCCTGAGTCTTCTGAGGGCGGGCGCTGGCGTTGTGCGCGCACGCCGCGGCGGCCGGCAGGGGGCGGTGGTCCCCTAACAAAAACTATTGCTCGAGTGTTTCCAGCCAGCGCGCCATCTCATCTTCGAGCCATCCCGCTGGCGCCACCCCGCGGTGGTGCCGCGCCGCGCCCTCGGCCTTCATGATGAGCTTGCGGCCTGGCCACTCTGCGGCCCCCACGAAGCCACAATTCTGGAGCTGGGGGCCCTATCTCATTGAGCTTCTGCTGGTCCTCCGCGTCTCCGCTGCGGAGCTTGTCGAGCATGTTCTCGTGGCCCTCCAGCTCGGCGGAGATCCCGTCCACGAGTGGGTGCTTCGTCGTCGTCGCGCGCGCGTCGATGTCTATGCTGCTGTTGAGGCGCGTCCTGCGCGTGGTCTGGAGCAGCAGCTTGGGCGCGGTGCGTAGCAAGGCCATGTCGCTCCAGACCTTGTCGCCGTGGCCCCCCTTCATCGCCCTGCGGCCGCCCCTGCGCTTCCTGCGCATGTCGCCCTTGGCTGCTTGCTCGTCCTCGTCGACCTCGATCGCCGCGTCGACTGGCGCCCGCGGTGATTGACCTGGCTTCGTCGGCGGCTTCTGGAGGCGGGGCTTGGCCGCGGGGGGGTGGGGGGAACCTCCCTCGTCGCTCCTGGGGCCGGCGCCAATTGCCTTGGATCCCTTGGGGGTCCAGGGGGAGGCGCGAGCTCGCGCGCTTCGGCTCGGCTGCTGGCTGCGCGGCCTTGGCGGTGGAGCCCCCCCCTGGTAGCGCCGCTGCTGCCGGCGTCGTGCTCGCGTCGCAGTGCTGGCAGTGTGGGCGTTGACGCTGCGGCGGCGGATGGAGCCGCTGTGGGAGTCGCTGTCGGGGGCGCTGCCGTCCGACGTGGCGGTCGAGCGACGCGTGGCCGATGTCGGGGGGCTTCGCGCGTGCTCAGAATGAGGTCCGCTGCTCGGCGGAGGGCTGCGCTAGCTGCCGGGGCGCCATCGATCGCGCGAGGTGGCCGAGGCGCAGATCTGAGCG